AATGCTGACATTAAAGTAAAAATCACATTGAAATCTATTCGTGATTGATGATAAACTTACCAACGATCCTCCTAACTGTTTTTACATGAAATGCAGAAGTACGATTTGTTTAAATGTATCAACCTGCCGATCACAAGTCTAGATTTTCTGCAGTTTCGGCGTGCCCTCCCTCGATTTTCATCATGATGCGCTACATAGGAAGCCTAAATCGCCGGCCTCTGGTACAGATAGATTTGCTGTAAATTTTTATTTTACAGGCTTCTGGATTGAGATTTGTATATGAAAGCTTTTCATCCGCACCAAAAGGCCATGTGGTTGGCATCGATCTCGGAACTACTAATTCTTGCGTAGCTGTTATGGAAGGGAAAACGCCGAAAATTTTGGAGAACTCAGAAGGTGCTAGGACAACGCCTTCGGTTGTTGCCTTCACAGCAGAGGGTGAGAGGCTTGTGGGTGCCCCAGCGAGGCGACAGGCCGTTACAAATTCGAAGAATACTTTGTCGGCCACTAAGCGACTCATCGGCCGTCGATTTGATGACGCTGAGGTCCAGAAGGATCTGAAGACTTCTTCGTTCAAGATTATTAAGGCTTCTAATGGTGATGCGTGGCTTGAGGCCCAAGGAAAAGCCTATTCTCCGAGCCAGATAGGAGCTTTTGTGCTTATGAAGATGAAGGAGACTGCTGGTAGGTCACCTTCTCATTTGTGTATTCTGTAGAAAACTATCTCGGTTCAAAGGTGTCTAATGCTGTTATCACCGTCCCGGCATATTTCAATGACTCGCAGCGTCAGGTAGGTCATTGATGTGCTTCGAGTTGCATGTAGGCCACGAAAGATGCAGGTCAAATTGCCGGCCTGAATGTCCTGCGTGTAATAAATGAACCGACAGCTGCCGCGTTAGCTTATGGCCTTGATCGCGTTGAAGACAAGACGTAAGCCGATGCTTTATACTTATTTTCGGTAGTATTGCCGTTTACGACTTAGGTGGTGGAACCTTCGACATATCAGTTCTGGAGATACAGAAAGGTGTTTTTGAAGTTAAGTCGACGAATGGTGATACGTTCCTTGGCGGCGAAGACTTCGACCAGGCCCTGCTAAACTACCTTGTTCAGGAATTCAAGAGAGAAGTACGTTAGTAACTAATTCCATTATTTCAAAACCCAATTCAGCAAGGCATAGATGTCACAAAAGACGCGATGGCTCTGCAACGTGTAAAGGAGGCTGCTGAGAAGGCCAAGATCGAACTGTCTTCTTCACTTCAGACTGACATCAACCTACCTTATCTTACCATGGACCAGTCTGGACCAAAGCATATGAATATGAAATTGTCCCGTTCTAAATTCGAGTCCCTGGTTGAACCGTTGATCCGACGTACGATTGGGCCATGTGAAAAGGCCATAAAAGATGCCGGTGCGAAACCCTCGTCCATTGGTGACGTTATTTTGGTTGGTGGTATGACGAGGATGCCAAAGGTAAAAACTTGTTTATTCTAAGTGGCGTATAGGTTCAAGAAACTGTAAAAAGTATCTTTGGCCGAAATCCAAGCAAAAACGTCAATCCCGACGAGGCTGTGGCTATGGGTGCTGCAATTCAAGTAAGTTTCTGGCTGTATGCTTGCGGTGTTTGCAAACTCCTGGCTAAATAACGAGCATGTCAGTCTATGCTATTATGTATTACGCTCTTATATTTTATTTTTTACAAGTTAACAAGCTTAGGCATGGTGAAGGGGGACGTTACACCTCTACTCTCCCAGTCCTTATATTTGTTTACTAAAATTTTCATCTTCTGCATGTTGCCTGTTGTGAATTTTACGCTTGCAATTTCATAGGCAGGTGTCTTGGCCGGTGACGTCACCGACGTTCTGCTCCTTGATGTGACGCCTTTGTCCCTCGGTATCGAGACCCTGGGTGGTGTTTTCACAAAGCTCATCAACCGAAATACTACCATTCCAACCAAAAAATCTCAGGTCTTCTCAACCGCTGCCGACGGTCAGACTCAAGTGGAGATTAAAGTTTTCCAAGGAGAACGGGAGATGGCAGCTGACAACAAGTTGCTTGGTCGGTTTTCCCTAGTAAGTCAAACTTGATAGTGTTTTACAAAAAAACAGTGGTTCAGTCCCTGATACTTTGAACTGCAAGTGCGTACATTTGAAGAAGTATAGCACGTACTAACGTCTGCGAATACTTTACACCTAGCTTGTTATTTGCTTTTCAGTGTGAAGAGTGATGCATTTGATGCCGCTATGGACTTTATCGATGTCAATAAGTTCCGTTTCATAGCATTCACTGTCTTCAGACGTTTATCAAAAAAAACTAAATGCTTTGTGATTTTATATCGCCTCTTCACAGCGACATCTAAAACAAGCACGCTCCACATGGGCCAGATTACAGTTAAATGAAAACGTCTACTTTTACGGTCAATTTGTGACAGTTGTTGTAGGA